AGGTTAGGGACAGATCGTCATGGAGAAAATCTAAGTGGTTGCTAGGAGCTGACGATGTCTTGATGGCGCCTAATCTGTCAATCTACAGATATCTATAATGAAGCAACTCTTTTTAGCCTTTTTATGCATCCCCAAAGTCTTTAGCTTCTTTAGTATTCGAAAATGTGAATGATCCATGGCTCCTTCCTTCACTGATTGCTTTGAACCAAAAGACCCCTTTTTATTTTCCATCAGCAAGTCATGGACAAAACAATAACACGCTATTTTATAGGGAAGAGTAATTCTCTTAAGCAAGCAGAAGACAGTTATGTTATAATCAAATTAGTCTAATACCAGTATTATTTCTCTTCCACTTGATTCTACATGGATTTTTTCACACTGGAACACCTCCAACTATCCACTGTTTGCGTATTTTCTTCCCTGTTTTTTCTCTCGAGTGATGCTCAATTACACTTATATTATAATGCTGGAGGCCCAAAATCTTTAAAAAGGTATTTTTCTTTGCTGCTTCCCCGTCAAGCTATTGACAGGATAAAAGGCAACCTTTAATTTCACATGTTATTCCTGGCACACTTTTCCTACTTGAGAATGCTTAAGAGTAAAGCAGTTTCATCTTTGATCAGTGGGGAATATAAAAACAGTTTTGTGCTGTAGATTAAAAGTTTGTGGCGATTGTCTGTGAGCTGAGTCCAGCCCTTCATCCATTTAACCCTTGGATGGGTAGTCAATCTGTGCCTCCCCAGACCTATTCCTGTGGTTCTCAAAGTCCTCTAGGAAGGCACCACCAAAACCCGACAGCACATCACATTATCTTTGGCACCATGTTTACTTTTTATAATCTGAAAATGCAAGGGTTAAGAACCAAATCTGAAATGAGCCCCTACCCCATCCTGAAAAAAGGCTCAAAAATTTGCGTCCTCTTCCTCCGCCAACTCATACTCCTCATGAACTTTGAAGGCCAACTCTCCTTCTTCAAATCAGCCTCCTGTCAAAGATGGCCTTATCAATATTGTCTACCGTGACTCACCATTTCAACCAATTCTATGTATTTTGACAGAAAAGTTGGATTTGCACAGTATTCCAAAGTGGATTGTGGTTCAGAAAGCCAGCTATGGTTTTGCTGTACTATAAGAACCAACTTATCATATTTGGCACATAATATGGTCTGTATGTTTGGATAGATTTTAGGATAATGTGTGAACCTAGCTCCAAAGAGGGCCTCTTATTCATTGGCCAGTCCAGAAAAGATGCTGAATACTCAACTATGCTCCATCACAGCTTTCACCTGAATCACTCACCATTGAGGGAGAATGGATACTGGGTTAAATGATCCACAAACTTAAGCCTGTTTTGCCTCCATATACGGTTCAAACATTTAATTGGAGGATCACTCGGTGTGCTTTTTTGTGGAGGTTGGGCGGTGGGGGGAGGACTCAGAGCAGATTAAACTACTAGATGGGAAAGCAGAGTTTCAGGAGGTGCACTGTAGAGGTCAAGTATGGGACTCTTGCTTTCAAGCCAAGCCATTGGACCATCTGACAGAATTGCTGTATTATTGCTGCTCTGAGGATCAGTTCTGTGTCAAGCTGCAGGACTGAGAAACCAGGAAACTTGCAAGCTTGTGAGAAATAAATGGAGTCTGTCAAGGAAAGTGATAGCTCACGCTTTCAGCCCAGCTGGGGGTGTTTGCAAGCGGGTGCAAGAAGCTGAATTGCCCGTTTACACTTCCCGCTAATTGAAATGGCATCAGAAGCAGAAGTGGAAGGAATGAGATTGTAACTATGGCAAAAGATGACAAGACCGTGAAGGGAGGTGGGGTGGGGATGGCAGGAGAGATCCAGATCACCAAGCCAGGTGGTGGTGGTGATGGTGATCAGACATGTAAATCTAAGTTCAAATTGAGTTTACGGCATTCAGTTTGCATCCCATAGGGATCAGGGTACTGGCACACCATGAAACGGAGAGTCTACATTCCATCTGTTATACAGAAATAACCCCCAGAGCTTCCTATAAACAGAGTTCCACAAAATGCACTTTCTTGAAAGTCTCCACTTACCAAACCCTTATGATGGCAGGTATCTGAAATGCCAAAGAGGAAGGCAAGTGAAGAATACTCAGTAGCAACCTATCTACTTTGCCCCTCCACAAGATAAGGGCACGGCTTTCGGCCAAAATACACCTATGTGGAAATTGTACATTATTTGCACGATGAGGATCACCCACACCAGCCATTTCCATATGAAGGCTACGCTGATTGAGGATGACGGGGACTACGCGCCATCATCACCATTGGAGATGGTTCAACAGAGCCCTAATCCTGAATATTTAACTCTGTAATATTAAAGGATCGATCAAATAAGCAACTTCATATTAATAGTACATCTCCTGTGACGTTCCCTTCTGGCAGCGATCACTCCCTAAGATTGGGCAGATGAACTTTGCCGAACAGAAAGTGTTTCTTTGGTTTTTTTTTTTTAAAACAACTTTCTGCTTTTTGTTCTTCTGTAAACAGGAAGCCACATTATCCAAGGCTATGAAAATCTGCTCCCAAACGCCAAAGCCAAAGCATCTTATTTTTCATAACGCAACCTGAAGCAATTACGAAGCTGGTCAAGTGCATTATAGCAAAATGCTATTCTGCGAAGAAAGTCAGGGGGAAAAAAGAAACAAAAACTGGGTAGCTCGTTTTCCCCTTTAAATAGGGCGCACGTTTCAGAAAGAAAAAAAGAGACATGCCGTTAACAGCGTTTCCAAGAGCATTGGAAAAGCAATGCATTTTGTGAGAGGAGAAAAAGAACAAGGCTGCCTGCTGGGAGCAGGTTAAAATGCAAGCCCTAAAGACTCAAGAAACACTGTGGAAATTAGAAGTATGGCTCATTATCGTGGAGCTAAGATTGTGGGGTCCTTGGTGCTCTCGGAGCTTGGTGGTTTGCTTGCAGACATTTCGTGACCCAACTAAGTAACTTCATCAGTGCTAGTAAGGGTGGTTTGTCTCTTTATATACAGTAGCTTGCCCTGCCAGTGTTGGTGGGGCTGCGGTTTTCTCCTTGGTAGTTCCTTGATTATTGTTTTCTGCTTCATTGTTTGTCTGGTGTTAATCCCTGCTTATCTGGGTGGAGGCTGCTGGAGAGGATGTTGTCTGGTCTTTTGGTTTCCTTCTTAGCTTATTGTTTCTTCTGAATGGTGTGTAAACGTGGTTTGACGAAAGCTTTAGTTCCATGTTTCACTATAAGTTGCACAAGCGCATTACAACTGCCGCACCGCCTCTTGATTGGTCCATCGAAACAGACTGATAAGCTGATCTCAGAAGTTAAGCAGGGCTGGATCTGCTTAATAAAGGGATGGGAGACCACTTGAAAATACCTGGACTGCAGGCTAGGGTAGGAAGATCCAGGAAGAAGGCAATGGCAAAGTTCTCTGCATTGTTGCTAAGGAAATAACACGGATGTAGCCATGAAGTCACCAGGACTCACGCTTGCCTTCATGATGGCCACCTTTTTAGAGCAAAATGTTTCAGCCTTTTAACTGAGTATTTCTGGAATTTCCTAATACTTTTCAACCTCAAGAACAGGCCTCGACTTAAAAAAACTGTGAAATGTAAAAGGCTTTGTCACACAGTACATTATAAAACCAAAGTTATCGTACTTCATTTGTGTGATGAATCTTCCTATAATATAATTATAGGAAACTGGCAAGATTTAGTGTGTAATTGCTGTTTGCCGGAAGCCATTTATAAAGGCAAGGCAACACGTTCACTAACTTTTAAGACTGTCTGTGGGACGTGGACAAAGTTAAGTACCGACGGTGTTGCTCTGGAGAATAGCAGTGTTTTTGTGTTTGGAAAAGCGATTGTAGAAATAATAATGTGTGAAAGAAAATAGGTCAGTAAAGGGAAAGAGGTTCTACACGCTAAAAGACTTGGAAACAGCTAGCATAAAATGACACCCATACCCAGCCACTTAAGGCTGGCTGAGATTTTATTATAGGTAGTCCCAGTTTAAGAATGAGCTCCCCTCCCAAGGTCTGTCCTTAAGTCGAATTTGTTTGTAAGCCAGAACCGTATTATTGTATAATATTGTATAAGTAGTATTGTGTAATGAACTTGAACGATTGTGTATTTAACTCGAATTTTGCTACAGTAGGTTCCGTTCTTAACTATGGGTTGTCTGTAACCCGGGTGTTCTTAACCTGGGGACTATCTGTACTCTTTTACTCCTTGATAACCAATTTCAAAATGGATTATACATTAATCCTCCCCTCCCCAACACTAATTTCCAGCTGCTGCTGCTTCTAGACCATTACACCACCATGTATCAGTCCAGCCCCAATTTTGGAGTGGGTTGGGGTGAAGGGTCCTGGATCCTTCCAGAATTGCACCACAAAAATCTGGCAACTTTTCTGTGGTGTATTTTTACTAAAGCAATGCTTTACTAAGTGGATTACTATATCCTCCAAGCACCAAAATAAAACTTTAATTAGAAGTCTAAATAAATCATATATTTGAGAGACAGTCAGTTCATGGCTGCAAAAAAGATAACTGTCTCATATTTTATGATAAATTTAAATAAACTGATGTTTACCTTTATGGGCAGAACTCTGGATATCTGGACAATTCTGAACTTTTGTTCAAGCAAGGCATTAAGAATCCTTGCTCCAAAGGTTGGAATAGTTGTCACCAACCTAACACTAAACCAGCTTTTTCTGACTGGGGGCCTTAAAAACGTACAAATGAGCTCCCAATTACAGCCTGGAGAACATTAAAAGCCTGCTCCCTTTGACCGATTTGCATTATTCTCGCCAAGCAAAGTCTGTAGAACTCTTATCAGTAAATGCCAGTCCTTTGGCCTAATTCTTCCCCCTTTGCCTGCTGTTTTTATTAGAATTTCCTTGCTTCGTTCTGCTAAATTCAATTTGTATACACCACATTAGAGGATCCTGATTGAAAAGTGAGTTTAAGGTCATCTGAATCAAAGGAAAAAAACCCCACCAATCTCTAGAAAGCCTTTAGCTAATAAAAAGCATTTCTCTGCATTTTTATTTGTGTAACACTCGCAAGAATGTTATATTTACAAATATACAGGCACCACTTGTAGTAAAATTCTTACTGAAGAACCGATCAAAACATAATTTACAATGCTCCCTTCCATGGCTGTTTTTATCCAAAGGAAGATTCGTGGGAAAAAACTCAGCAGCGTTGCAAGAGGGCTCTTTTTCCGTAGCTAATGAGGACTTTCAGTTCTTTATAGAGCTTCCATCTTTCCATCTCAGGAGGCACTGGTAGAAATATTTTTGGAAGCTGCAAGCATTGCCCTCACCTTGGCCATAAGATCCTGCAACAAATACAAAGGAAGTATAAAACAAAATAAATCAGACCGCAACCAAACTAAACCTTCTGCAAATGGTTTGCTGAGCACATATTCAACAGCATATGTATTTCTTACCACCCAACAAAAAATCCATCTCAGTTGAGAAAAGGAGGAAAATGTAAATGGATGTAAAGGAACTGATCAATACAGAGTTATTTCCAAACCCTAATACAGGGGACAAAGCCTGAAGGTGCAAACTCTTTGGTGAAGCCAAAAGATCTTTTTCAAACAGACCCAAATTTCTGAAGTCAGAAATCAGCTGAGCTCCCCATCGACTTACAAATTCTGTCAAGGATATCCAGAAGGCAAAGGAGAATATTTTAGGTAACCTAACCTAAACTCTGTTAGCAGTCTCTTTTAATTGCTTCGGATGGTTTGACATTTCTCAAAAGCAGCCCTTTTTATGGCAACTCCTGGAAGACCAGACTGGGGGCGGGAGGTTGCTTTCAAAGACGCTGCCCCAAAGAGGAAAAACTTTTGTCAGATCAGAACACATTCTATCTAATCTGCCAATCCACTTCCCAATGCTGGCCATGGTTGAACTCCAATTTTTAATTTTCTGCTTCTTATTCTCACCCGTTGCCAGATTCTACATGGCAGGGCACCCGTATCCTTGAATCTTACTGTGCTATCATAAAAATTTGGGATGGAGTAGTGTGCCCTTTGCTCCAAAAAGAAGCATTATGATAGCAGAAGGCTGACTGTTGTTGATGATGATGATGATGATGATGATGATGCAAAGCAGTTAACCAGCATTGGGCAGCAAGACTTCATTTACCAATGTGTCCACATTTTGCAGAGAAATGGGGTTAAGCTCGTTACGAGAAGGCTTTTGCTGCTGAGTAGACAAGCGTCTGCAACTACAGGTAGCAGAGACTGGCTCCCAGAATTCAAAGGGCCAGTTTCAGGGTGCAAGGAAATATTTCCTTGGCAGATCTGTGCTACAGAACTGCTGGCTTCAAAGTCTTTTGTTCAGCAATTCTGGAAAATTTAGCTAGTAAGAGGACACCCAAGATTTTAACCATGGCTGTCTCCAAAATGTACACAATGTTTTGTAATACAGAAAAGGCGATCAATGCACAACTGTTTCTTATACCCTTTTTCTAAACCAACAAAAACCGATTATGCCTTTTTTCTCAACAGTGAAAGATCAGTCTCTTAGCTGGTTGTAATTCTCCAAGGTCGAAACAGAATCTGAAGAAGTCACTGCTCCCTTTACAATCCACATGATGCTCAATGGCTGTTTTTTATCTCAGCCCTTCAAGGATAAGCAGCCTCTTATCCCAAACTTCCAACCGGTTCAGTCATCTGAGTATTAAAAATCCTCTCCCCAAGAGGAAGTGGAACATTCACGCTGGCATCACGCTTATGGAAAATGACAAATTTATTACAATTCACCCATTACAATGTCTCAAAACTAACACAGTGAGAGAAACTCCAGTACCCGTTTAGAGGCGATCTGGCCAAGTCAAATTAAATTTGAAGCAAGCACAAGATGATGTTGTTGTTTTTTTTTTAAAGAAAAGGGAAGCTGAAAGAGGTGATTGCTAAATTACTGTTTTCTTGACCAGGCTGCGTGAAGGAAAACGGAACACAGGAGAGGGGTTTTTATATGCACTTTGCTTAGTGAGCTGAAGGCAAAATACGGCTATTCAAGTTACTTTCTAAACCGTTGACCAAATAAGAAAGGGGGGAAAAAAAAGACGACGATGATGAAGAAGACATGGTTATTATATCCAAATCTGTAAACAAACTTATCACAGTCTTTCACAGTGCACTTGTTTTTACGTTACTGTACTTAACAGCATAAGATAATTACCTTTAAAGCACCTGGTAACTTTAATGAGAAAAAAAATGTTATAAAAAAGAGAGGGTGCCGAGGTCTTTCAAATAGCCTAGATTAAAAGTACCAAAACGCCGATCGCAATGAGGAAGGGAAGGGAGATGGATGAACCTAAGACTTTTCTTTATATTGCAAGGACCCAAAGGGAGGGAGATGAAACGTTTCTTAAGATAATCATTGTTGGGAGTAAAGGAAAGATTCTGTCTATAAAAGAACTGGAGAAAGAGATGGGTCTGGGACCACTTTGGGGGGGGGGGATAAATCCACCCATTTGCTTTTCCCCCAGCTAATCCAGAAAATAACTCTATTCTTCTGTGAGCCCCAGGTCCCATTAAAGATTCTGCTTCTCTCAGAACATGCTTGTATAGAAGTTGTGGGGATGTTTTAACCCAGATGGTTCAGTACTTGTGCATAATTCCCTGTGTTATTATCCCTCCCCGCCCACAAACCCTGCCTGCAGTGTTGGAGAATCTTAAATCTATAGAATTGAACGAGGCTACTGAGACCAACAATCCAACTCCAGTGCAGATATGAGAACACCCCAGAGAGAAGGCTAACGCTCTCTTCCCTGGGTTATGGGTTTCATAGTCAAACAGCTCTTACGCTTAAGTAGTTAGTCTTAACATGCAGCTGCAATCTACCTTCCCAGTATCTTGAGATCATTATTCTGTGTCCTGGCGTTCCAGAATGGCAGGGAACAGGCTGCGGTTGCCTTTGGTGCTATAGATATCAAGACTCTGATTCAACCGGGTGAGAAATCTTAAGGGGACGGGGGAGGCTTAATGAGGCCTTAATGGAAATGGGAGAGATTTGAAGTGAGATTTCAGAGGGGAGGAGACACTGTATAGATGGAAGATAATCAAAAGGAAAATTAATGGAGGAATCGCTTTAACAATAATGCCCCCAAGAAGATGGGCATTCACAAGTTAGTAGAGCAAAGATGATAAGGAAATGGGAGAGGTTTGAAGTGAGATTTCAGAGGGCAGGAGACACTGGAAGATCATCAGAAGAAAAATTAATGGAGGAATCGCTTTAAAAAGTTATGCCCCTGAGAGGATGGGGCATTTACAAGTTGGCAGAGCAAAGATTATAAGGAAAAGGTGAGACGGGTGAGGCTGTACACAGGCTGGTCAAGGCAAGACAACCACGGTGTCAGGTTCAGCCCAAGAAACGCCACGAGACAGTTTTGGAATTGCTCTGTTCTTTGTTAGCTTGCACCTGCTAGACAGAATCTCGCCAGACTAACTCTAACTCCCAAGGTCTGCAACTAAACACTACGAATAGGGTGGTGCCAGTCTCATCCTCTTTGCTTTCACATGCTCAGTCTGTGGGCTGAGGAGATGCTTCTCCCCCTGACCTTGAACCTCCTCATCCAAGTCCTCCATCACACACAGTTTGTGTAAAACATGGAGATGATGTTGAGCTCTGAAAAGATGGAATGGCATTGTCTCAGCGAGGGGTAACTTTTTTCCTTTACCTGCCATGGACCCCAGAAAGCAAATCTGGGGTAAGGTAAACATAAGGGCTGCTTCATTTTTGTAACTAAATCACCAATACTGGCACAGAGATACACCGAAGAACTCCCTCACAAACTAGACAGCTCTAAAATCAGGACAGCGGTCTGATTTAGGCATGCCCTTTGCAACATGCAAACCTGACACTGAGCAACAAGGTGAGCAAGAATTTCCGTAATTGCAGAGCCTTGTAAAAAAAACCGGGAACATGTTTAGTTGTACCTGAGTGATTTTACTCTGAACGGATGACACAATTGCAGAAGAGATCTGGCCCTCTTTTTCCAAAGGAACTCCCCTAAAAGGTTAAAAAGAAAAGAGGAATCAGTTGGCAGGTCATTACTGCAATACCCAAGTATGTTGAGAGACTGTAATTAACATGAAAAACTGAAGAACTGTGCAGAGAAAGAACTGGCAGGAAGTTCGCATCCTGCCTTTTCAGGAAATTAATGCTATTAGTCTGCCTCCTAGACATCTTGTAAGATTGGTGAAAAAATCCAGGGGAAACACTTTGAATGTTTAGGCTGGACACAAGGCATTCAGAGACCGCCCCCCCCAACTCTCATCAGGGGTACATCCTAACACGCAGTTTCCCATGTGCCAACCAATATTCCCGCATAAATAACAATTAAGCTACTTCTACAACATTCGCTGATGACCAGTTTTCTCATACAAAGCATCTCCTGAAGAAAAGCAACTCACTGGAGCACCTCAAAAAAACAAAACAAAAGAACACAAAAAACCCCACAAAAGAACAAAAACCCCCCCCCATTCTGGAGTTCTCACAGAATGCAAGAAAACAAAGTAAAAACACAGCATTAAAGGAAGCAGAGCTTCAAAAGGGGTGATTTAATTCCATGGAGAGCCAATGGAATCACCTATTCACACTGAATCTTCAAATTGATTTGAGCTGTCAGATCCAACTAGGGGCCTTCAAATAACTTCAGAGAGATTCAAACCCAACTCAGAGATTCAACAGACTCGGTGGGGCTCTGCTGTCTTAAACTTGGCTGCAGCTTTCTTTCCATCTATGGACACAGCTGGGGGGAGATGCTGAATGGATTCCTTGCCACTGAAAGAAACAGCCAGGCAGGGAATTTGATTGACTCCATAAATCCTGCCTATGAGAGACTTACAAAGTGCTGCTCTGAGCTTCCATCTCACTCTGCTGGTAGAATGTGTTTAGGCAGGGTTGCTAAGATGGAGAGCCAGATTTACTACAATGCTCCTCTTTGACCTTGTTTGCTCTTTCTAACATAGTCCTTTACCTCATAGCCCAAATCTTTTCCTTATGCCTGCTACTCCAGTCTTAAAAAAGGAGGGAATATTTCAATAATTTATTGAAATAAATGATTGAAGCTACCTGGATGAAACTCTGCAGGATTAATGCCCTCTAAAGGATCTACCACCCTTTCTGTTTTCATTCATTCTGCCCTCCAAATGAAGCAGCTTTATTTTGATGCTTCCCTACTGAAGCCTAAATCAAACCCTTCACTGAATCAAGTTGGTTGAGATTGAACCTTGTTGCCTCTGAACTGAATCTTGCCACAGTTGAATCTCAAATTAAAATCTGATTCCAAATAATAGAGGAAAGTCAGGGGTAAAGATGATCAAGTCGGAATTCCTCCAAAGTGGTTTCATTAACAGTTCAGAAGTTATATATTCCATTACTGAAATTAATAGAAGGCTGTGGGTTTGCCTAAGGAAGGAAAAAATGCATGAGAACAATTGTGTAATTAGTGTACACATATGGCATTACTTCAGGCTGAAGAAAAACATGATCTGAACACCCTCTTGGCATAAAATAAAAAAAACCTCTGCAAGCAGAAACATCACAGAAAAATGTTGGTTTTCTGCTTGAGGTAAGCAGGGTTTTGCTTTGTTTTTTAAGTAGGAGAGCATTTAAAAAAAGGGGTGCTTTCCTTGCACCTCAATTCTACCAGCCCAGCTCATCAGCAGAGCTGTACAGAGCTATCTACATAACCCTGTTCTACTTTTCTCAGATTTTTCATGAGATGCCGAAGGGCAGTAAAACAGGTGACCAGCTAAACGACTGCAACGTACCCTCGTGAGGGTGGAATTTACAATTCCAACGCAATGAATGCCTGCCACACTAGGAAGGCTCACTGTATTCACCCCAAAGGTTTGGAGAATAAAGTGAACTGAACAGAGATTTTGGCACAGAGTCAGCAAGCATCCCCCAGCCCTCCCCCGCTTTTATAATTATTTACTTTCCCCTTTTGGATTATTTATACTATCAGCCAGAATGGAGGCTCTTGGGGGCTCATTACCCAGAACGTTCTTGGCTGGATCCCCGACTCTCCACAGGAGAGATGCTGGCTGAGTGACTGGAATTCTTATGGGCAGACTGTTTTCCCGGTGAGATGGAAGGCGAATGGGATCTTGCTTTAGACTTGGTGTGGGAGTGAGATCTCCTCTTCTTCTTTTCATGAGGGCTTCTGAAAGGAAACAGGAACACACACACACACACACACATTAGGCTTAGTCTAAGGCATACAATCAGCTACAGAGAGAAACTCACTGCTTGCCCCCTCCTTTTAACTCCCTTGGGGCAGATTTCTCTTTTGCATCGAACAAAACTTTTTGTTTTTCTAAAGAGCTCTGATGTCAGAATTGTTCCCCCCAAAGCCAAATGCGCAACTCAACCCAAAATCCCAGATGAAAGCGGGGATTGAAATTCCAAGATCCTGAAAAATCCATGTATTTCATTATAACCGTTGCAAGTTACTGTCTCAATTTATAATGAGACTGCAGTGCTCACGTGAACAGTGTGGAAATATTGGCTGTTTCACAGAAGGTGCAAAAAACTGCCACAAATAGTAACACCCAAGGAAACTCCCAAGCTCCCAAAAGGAGCTCCATCATTTCTTGGGGGCCATCTTATACAGGCTCTTCAGTTGTCATCACCTACTTTATCTCTGAAGACATTAGCAACCACACATCCCTCTCAGGTAGTCGCAAAATCATAGAGTTGGAAAGGATGTTAGAGATTACGTAATCCAGCCCTCTGTTCAGTTTCGATCCTCTAAAGCATCTCATAGATGACCATCCAACCTCTGTCTGAAGATCTCTAGCAAAGGAGATGTCACCACTTATTTTGGTTGGCTGACAGCTCATACAATCAGGAAGTTCCTCCTGATGTCTAGCTGGAACCTCTTCATTGTACTTTTAACCCATTCTGGGATCCTGGTCAATATTGGTACTGTACAGTAACCAATGTACTGTTTCTTGCACAAATCATCTTTTAAACCCACCAAGAGGTAGCTGGGACTTAATATTCACTATAGGGAGCCTGAACTGCAAATAGCTTCCTTCCCAAGAAGAAGCCTGCGTGAGGTTGCTTTGACCAGGTAACACGATCAGTCAATGTAACTGAAAATTGCTATTGTAAGATGAAGGTATTTTACAGAAACCTCTCACAGAAATGAAACAAGAGGACAAGCCAAACTCTCGGCATTCTACTGCACTGTTGAGATAACTCCCAGCCCTGTAGCTGGGAACATTTTCCCCCAATCAAAACAATGTCCAATTATGTTATCAACTGCAAAGTGTGCACCTTAATCTTCAGTATATTGAGATGTAACCAAAAAAAAATTGGGGGCAGAACACACATGCCTGCTCAAAAAGTAGGAAAAAGCATATCTCTGAGAAAGAAGTAGGAGGTCCCTCTCATCTGAATCAATCCCCAGTTTTTTCTCTAGCAAAGAATGTGCCACTTAGTAGTTTGGTTCTCTGATCCACCATGAACTGCTGGTGTCCTTCAACTTCACATTGTAACTGGTGTCAGCACAGCCATGGGCTCAGGAAACGATGGGAAGTACTGTAGCTCAATGACAGACCTCATGCTTTGCATTCAGAAGAACCTAGTTTCACTTCCTGATAATTCTGGGCATTGGAGAATTATGAGTACCAACTAATGTTCCACCTCAAATTGTCTTTTGGACAGGGGGCATATCCATGCTCACCTGCTGGATGCTATATTCTCTCTACAAGATTGACTAAGGTGAATAGGGTATGGTTACAGGAATTTCAGCAACTAAACTTCAGGGAGTCCTCAACTTATGACCATTTGTTTAATGACTGTTCAAAGCTACAAAGGCACAAAAAAAGTGATTTAGGACCAGTCCTTGCACTTACAATCGTTGCAGTGTCCCCATGGTCATGTGATCAAAACTCAGGCACTTGGCAACTGGCATGTATTGAGGACAGTTGCAGCATCCTGGGGTCATGTGATTGCCATTTGCGACCTTCGCAGGGGACTTCCAACGAACAAAGTCAATCGGGGAAGCTGGATTTGCTTAATGACCGTGTGATTCGCTTAATGACGTGGCAAAAAGGTGATAAAACCAGACACGACTCACTTAACGACTGCATCGCTTAGCGATGGAAGTTCCAGTATCAATTGTGGTCGTAAGTTGAGAACTACCTGTACTTTCAATTTAGTATCAATATAGCCCCATGTATATTTGGGTGAAGACTTTCTAATTTTCTCTTCAACAGCCTTTCTTGTCTGGAAGGAGGCAGGTCTCTTTGCTGATAACAGAGCGGCTTGCAGCTGGCTGTTTCCCTAAATTGTCCCCTGGATGTGTATCAGCCTGGGAACCAACTCTTACTATTTATTTATTTATTTATTAAATATACTTGAAACGCTTCAGAAATCCTGCATGTCAGTTCCTGAGAAAGAAAGCCACCTGAATGAGTACTATGGCCATCAAATCTCTATACAGTCCTGGAAAACTGTGACTGTTCCATCAACAGGAAACGTAAACTTTGCACACCTTTAACAGTTGCAGGAAATACGATGGGCTTTTCCAATGACTACCACGCGCCCAGTGGACGAAACAGGAGCTGCACTAACATTTACAGGCTGCTCTGTGCAACTGATTAACTTGCCTACCTACATTAAAAGCCCTCTAACTGAGATTGGCAGATTAATCTACTAGCCGTCATTCAACCCATCTATGTCTCTCTTGCCTGTTACCTTGGACTGTTCTGAAGGAGGAAGATGTTAAATTGGAGCAACCTCAGTGTAGAAGTTAGCCAAGGTATCTTGTGCTAACTTCTACAAGGCAACATGCTTGAAGCACTGGTATGTGGATCATTCCTTTACAGACCTGCAAAAATATGAAAAGCCCTTTCTGTATAACACTGCGACAGACACTGGAAGGGTCTCTGTGGAATCGGCTCCTCTGTTAAGATCCCAAGTCATGAACTGTTTTAAGAAAGCACCCACTAATCAGGTCACGTTCCATCAGAAATCCATATCCATCTGTGCCTTTGCCCTTATCCCTTCCCTCTGTCTCCACTAATGGGATGTTCTCTTCCTAACCTCCTGATCCCAGCTACAGAAAAACATCTATCAAAGACGCAGGAGAAGCAAAGGAATGTAGGAAGCCCTGACTCTTTTTTTAAATGGGAAGCTCATTTAAAAAAAGGGCGAGGTGTTAGTTCTTTTCCCGCTGATCAGTTTCCAAGTCCAATTCTCCTATTAGCTGCATCCTCCTCTTCTCCCAATAATACTTCACACATGTGTTCATTCTTGAGCTTTGATAATGTAATATGAATACTGGCAGTGTATAAGGTTGGGGTACTCTCCAGACATTTTTGATTGTAACTGCCACAATGCCTTCCCATTGGCCATGTGAAGTGGACTGATGGGTCACCTGGATGACTAATCTTTGCTTTTAAAATAAACCCTCTAAAAGTGTGCTACTCTGTCTTTACCTTTCTATTCTGGAAATGATCACAGGCAAGTATCTGGCCCAAATCTTTCCTTAGGTTAGGGCTGTGAAAATGTTCGGTTGGAGGAAAATTAAAATGAATGCTAGTATGGCGGGGGGGGGGAGTGTGGAAAAAACCCTGCTCTCAATTTAAAAAAAAAGTTTCAAAGTAAAAGAAAAAAGTTCCTATTTTTGTTAACAGAGAAAAGAAGGCTGTTGAGTATACTGGGAGGTCGTGCAGAAAAACAAGGGAAAAGAAATAAAACAAGAAAAGAAAAAGAAAAACAATGTTTAGCTATCAATTTTAATTTGCCTCAGTGAGAATCACTAGGAAATTTAAATCAATTACAGAAAAAAGAGACTAACCTGAATGTGGTTATCACTGACTTTTCTATCCTAGTTAAACCATGGTCACAGACCCTCACGATTACAATGAAAAATGTGTTTGCAGCAAAACTCCATAATAAATTACAAGCAGGGAGTGATTTAGGCCACAACTGAATAGCTGAAGTACATATAGCACTGATGTGTTTTGCCTTAAAAAGTGTGAGGGATAATACTGTCAAAAAGAGCGATATTGACCAGTGTTAAAGCTATGACGTCAAGGACCTTGAGAAGTTAAACTTCTAAATATTTATAGACATGTAAGCTGCACAAAGCAAGAAATATAGAGCCAAGGAAATAAAATTCAATAACCTGAGGATTATCATTTCAGAGCCTTAGCTCTTTCTTTTTTTAAAGCCATCATTTGGTCCAATAATAATAAAAAAAAAGAACACTGAGCTATGTTTTGCATCCCATGTGTTATGAAGGACGGGGGAGCAGCAAAGAACTTCAGTGGGCGGATTTTGATCTTAAAAAAAGGAGATCAAGGAAGCTCATGAAGACATTCTGCACTGGAGATAGCTTTTGAGGACTACGCATAGCATATCAAGTAAGGATCCCATGTGGACTTCAAGAAGGAGTCAAGGAAGGGCTGGGATGACAGGTAACGTTTATGCAGGTGGGTAACCTTGTAGAACAGAGCCAGTAGGGCATAGGAGTGAAGATGCTGGACTAGAAACAGGGAGGCTGTGAGTTTTAGTCCTCCCTTAAGCATGGGTGAATTTGGGCCAGTCACTCTCTTCCTCAGCCCAACACACCTCACAGCGGTTGTGGCAGGGAAAATAAGGGGAGCACTATACACTCCCCTTGTAAAAAATGAAGATGGGATATAAATTGGATAAATAAATAAGGAAACCAGTTCCAGGCACAGAAAAGACTGAGGGAAAGGAAGATGAACTCTGCTTCTAACCCAAAATCAGCTTGGACATGAAGCACTCAGATTGAGGCATACATGGATCTGATTGCAGCATCGGTTGGGGTTAACTGTGAAAAATTCATTAGTTCTTCCCATCTATTCTTTTCATGCTGGGGAGGGGGGAGATATTCTGTAACATGGAAGCTTGTTTTTAATGTACTCTAATTCTTGCTTCTAGACAGGCCGGGGTGGGGGCAGGGGAAATTCAGCACAGCTTGATTTATAGTAGGACCTCCATGCCCTCTGCAGACAACCCCGAACGCAGCTCTGCGTCCGTTGCACTAAAGAAACAAGGTACCGAGTCTTGATAAATAGATATTATGCTAGCTCACATATCACTCAAATCTGGCTCCCTTCTCACATCAAATACCAAAAGCACGATGCGCTGTTAATGTCATCCCATTTTAGAGTTGCATGCTCAGAATTTACAGGCAAGCAAAGAAGTCTTGAGCTCTCAAGGGAGGCCTCCTCTGTAGGCCTTCAGAGATAGCCATGTTGAGGTGATACTCTACCTAAGACTGAAGGCTCTTCCTGGGAACAGGCTCTGCCCTGGATGGCCATCGGAGGTTCCACAATGGGCAAAGTCAACGAGAGAAGAATTCTGAGGATAGGAACTGGTCCTCTTAATTAAGAATTCTTCGTTTTTGTGCCACAGCGATTCTAACTTCTGGCTGAGCATATGCACCTTGGGAGGACACTATGTTGGGCAGGCATTAAGATCTCCAGCACGTATCTCACCACCTTTATAAAATGATGGATGCAAACGGTGTATGCATTCTCCGTACAGCAGGTAGGATGTAAGGACAGCATGTGCAGGAAACCCACGCAGCATATTTTAAAGCCCCAGGGAATGGAGATGGATGGGACTGCCTTATACCATAAACATCACTTTCTTTGGGAGAGCTCTTCTCTATCTATGCTGTTTGCATTCCTCATAACAAAAGCCTCCTAAATCAGAGAATAATTTGAGCCATAAAAATGCTGAAAGGCTTCCAACCTCACTTCTGGTATTTTCTATATATCACTCTTTTGGACTCCGGTCTTAGTCTAGGAGCATTGTCTCCTTCGCCTTCTCGCCGTTTTATATTTGCAATTATTAACAAATTGGGATCCGTGCCCAGAAGCATGTACTGAAGGGATGGCAAAAACATAATCAAAATAAATCTTCCCATTTTACTCCTTTTGGAATCAGGGTTGCAGCACCGCAGACTAATTAATTAACCCACAGGGTTGCTCATCTTTAACGTGAAAAGGAGGCACTGAATCTTCTACAAAACCTAGGAAAGGAAGATGGGGTTTTCTCTAGCTGCTTTAGTAGGGCTGATGCAGAAAGCATCCCAAACGATGTCTGGGCTCCTTTTTAAAACGAGTTAGTCCTCATTTAGTGAGTGCCTCATTTAGTGACCATTCACAGTTATGACAGTGAACACGAACATGAAAAAGTAACTTTGCGACTGATCCTCGCATTTATGACCACCGCAGGTCTGCAAACCAAAGGAAAGCTGAAGATCATAAGCACAGTCGTGGTTTCACTTAGCAACTGCTTCACTTAATGACTGAGTTACCATTCCCAACTGTAGTTGCTAAATGAGGACTACCTGTATTTTAAAAACCAACGGATAAGGCGGGGAATATGACAGACAATATCCTACCCACATAGGGGCAGATGCACTTTACTCAAGATATTGAAAGAAAAAGTCTTACGGCTTGCTGTTGTTCCTGCCTTCTACCCAGAGCACTTTTGAAACACACTGTGGAATCACTGCAAATGTTTTCAGCAAAATTAGAGGAGTTACTTTTCCAGTCTACCCAGAGGGAGATGTTCCTGATCAAAATACTAGAAAACCAAGAAGCTCCTGTTCCAAATGTTGGTGCCTTTGCTGGTTCCCTCCCTTTATCTTCAGGTGAACTTCAGAAGAAGTTGTCTAAGATGTTTTCTCAAACTGCATTCTTGATCTGGGCTCAAGCCCCTCTTATCTGACTTGCCTTGGAAGTGGTTTTTCCTCCTGTCCTTCAAGCCCATTCCCTGTTCCCCCTACAGTGAGGAAGAGGGCCAGTGGGAAAGAACTCATGGGTTTAACTTGCATACTGAGCTTTTAAGTTCATTCCAGCAATTTTAAAACAAACTGAAAGTCACTGTAGAAAATTCTGAATGGAGCAAAGGGGTCAGACATTTCAAGAGAGCTGGACAAAGCCAACTAAAGACAGAAGACCTCAGTGTTCCCCTCCGGAGTACCCAGCTATTCTGCGAGCATGCTGTGTACCTGGAACGGGTACGTCTTCTGCTGATGCCTGGGCTGTTGCTCACACGATAGGCAGTCGGGACGTTCCTCTCTTCTCGATGTCTTTCAGGTGTGTGCACCCGTCTTCTTGGCGATCTTGAGCGAGACCTGAATAGGAGATGGGAGAAAATTAAGTTCATCCTGGAAAGGTTTTGATGACCTCTACATTTCATGATAGGGGCACACTGCCTTGATTATCAAAGAGAAAAGACAAGTACAAATTCCAGCAAATAAGTAAAAGGATAACATGTGTGTTTGTTACACTGTAAATGTTTTTGTAAAAAAACAAGACCACCAAGCACATAGCATGTGGGAGTGATTGTTAACTCCCTGAGGATGCTTTATCCATTCCTTTTCCTGACTTACTGTTTTTGAACCCCAAAACAACGGTTCTGTCTTTAAGTGCTTAAAAGACAGGATGCAGATTGACTGATTTCCCACATCCAGATGCCTAATGATCATGTGAGAACTGACGTTAGCATCTTCCAAAGAAGGTCAATTTTATTTTGTAGGGCAAGCTGCACAACACAAAAGCCCTCCTATGAAGGTGGAGGCAACCAGGAAAGGGAGTCGTGACAGGGAGCTGACAAAACCCTAAGTCTGCTTGTGACACCACTGGAAATGTTGACCTTAGCCAGCCTTGCAACCTACTAAGAGTGGTTAGAGCTTGTCAGAGAGAAAGAAAGGCAGTGATTTTTGAAGCTGTTTAATATCAGAGATCCTTAGAAGCGCTCTTAAGATTTACATAGCAATGACTAGTCTTGTGCATGTACTTCCCAGCATGAATTCACATAGTCAAGGAGGGGGAGAACAAGGTCTCCCTTCTACTGGAGTCTGTTTTGCAGCTAGTTTCATTTTTCAAAACATAAGATTAGCTTCAGCTACCCTTCCCATTTTGCCATCCTTGGATTCACTCCTTTATGCCTCACTCACCGAGTACAACAACTCAATAATTTCTGGCCACCCTAATCCACAAAATGCTTTAGGTTAGAGATCATTTCTCACCCTTCCTTTTAAAAAGGAAAAAAGAAAAAGAAAAAGAAAAAGAAAAAAGAAGACAAGTCTGGAGTGGTGTTCACTCCTTTATGCCTCACTCACCGAGTACAACAACTCAATAATTTCTGGCCACCCTAATCCACAAAATGCTTTAGGTTAGAGATCATTTCTCACCCTTCCTTTTAAAAAGGAAAAAAGAAAAAGAAAAAGAAAAAGAAAAAAGAAGACAAGTCTGGAGTGGTGACAGCTAAAGAAATACCTGTGAAACGTTAATTTCAGAGCTAGGGTCAAAGAGGAACGTTCAAGCTACAGCATCATAACAAGGGCACCCCCTTGCTTCCTCTAGGGTTGATATACTACACTAGCTTGAATTTTCAGGCCAAGCTTCAACTCCAAAGCATGCTTGCTCACATTGGGCCTGGGCTGTCCAAAGCCGAGCTACTGTGAAGCAGAAGGGAGAGTGTAAACCGTTACACACTCAAAGGTGTTATATTGTGCAGGGCAGATCTGATTGTAGGGTCTCTTGGAAATCTTATATTCCCCAGGACTTTACAAAAGGATGAAGGCAATAATAATAGAGTAGCAGTAAGAGGAACAATACTAATATATATATATATATATTAAAAAAAAAAGAGAAAAAACAGAGGACAGAAGCTGGAAGTTGGTCAGACACCGTGACAGTTTACCAGGACCTCTCTCTAAAGAGCTCTGGCAATCATATCTTTGCGCCGTGGAGGCTGCCTGAGAATCCTTGCGCTCTGCTGCGGCTCTCACTGATGAACCGCCCAGCCATGATGCCATGCTCAATGTCCCTGTGGATTGTGGGAGTCGGTGACATATGGAGGCACACACTTCACATTCAGAATTTTTTTTTTTGGTTTTGCTTGGTCTTGTTTCTCTAATATGGGCTCCTTGGGGCAATTAGGGTTCCCGAAAGGGTCCAAGTCCCTCAACTGTTGTGGAAGTTTAAGGAAAGCAGGTAAGGATTTCAGCCTACAAAAGTTCAGACAATAAGGAAGAGAAAAGGCATTCGCTTTGAATATTTGCAAATATAAGGTATATATTTCCATATATACATAATATTTGCAAATATTCAGCTAAAGCCTGTTTCCCTGTACAGATGTGGCTATTTTTAAAAAAAATCAATTGTGTTAAACAGGGAAGGGTTACTGCCATTAATAGGTAGGCTTATTTTTAAAAAATGCAAACCATGGATCGTTGTTTGAGACCAGGAGGACTATTTATAAGGACTTTAACTTCTTTAAACTAGGTTAATACCCATTTGAGTTGCTAATCACTTTCCATCTTAAGGAGCAGTATCTATGCAAAAGATTCTGCCCGGGAGAAAGGAACTGGTTTTGAAGTTATGCGGAACATTCATTCTTGTCTCTCTCATCAAGGAAAAAAACATTTTGAGAATTAGCACTATTGACTCTTCGAAATGGAGGCCATGAACATGCAAAGTTTGCTTATGACAATCAGCTAATCTTACAATTTAAATCTTTAATGATGCCTTCTCATGCTAATTACTACATACAGATCATTAGCTGGGTAAACAGAGTAGGTGGTTTAGCAACTAACCTCTTACATGGAAAGCAATTCAGGCAAAATGAAATTTTAGGTTCAACTGAAATGCAGACGTATGATTTGTCTAATCTACCTCCCCTATCAAAAGCAGCACAAAGCACACACTTACAAGTGATCCACATAACACTTACTTTGGGGGAGGCTTGAATATGATTGAGACTTTCAAGAGGGATAGTTTGAGGATCTCCGTTGTAAAATCTTTACTATTAAACCATTAGGTGATTTGCGGTCTAATTGCATTTCTTTGCACCATCCTCCCCTCCAATCTGCAATGCTGTATGTTTGCGGAAAGGTAAAAGAATTCACCTCCTCTTTGGCTGCAATTAATGCGGTCCTTAGGTGTGACATACGTAGATGACCGTGGCTGGTTTCAAAAAACGAAGTAGGGCCAGAGCTTTAGATTAGATTGGGAAGTGGAAAAACAGCCACAGAGAAGGCAATTAGCAGACTACTTCTGTACTTCTGCTGAGAAAATAAAAGCAGATGTCTCCATGTAATCACTGGGAGTTGATCCTGGCTTGAAGGACATTTTACTCATGTGTAGATACTGGTGCAAGCACGGTGAAATTCGAAACATCTTAACCAGAGCATCGCAGAAGCCCTCCAAGACTGACTTTGCCCAGCTGCTAAAGTGCTGCACTGCTGACCCTTTCTTGGGGTCAGTATTTAACCCGGGATTTTAAGACCCCCTGGGAAATTTCATGAAATCAGGTTCTGAACTCTGATGAGCAAAAGGTGACCCAAATATATAAATGTAGCTAAAACAGCTCTCCTATGAGCTATCAGGCAATGGGAAAGGTGAATCTAGGAAACTAATAAGGACAAAGAACTGGGTTGGGAGTTAATCTGTATTTTTTCTACTACAAAACCAACAAATAACTGGTGTATTGTTCTTAATATTCCAGCAAAGAAATGTGTGCCCTTTAACACACGGAGGTACAGAATGAAACCTAATTGGCTACGTCTCTGAGGCTGAGCCATTCTCTACTACTAATTCAGATCTGCGACCCAGAAGAAATTTCACAGGGAAATTCAACGTTTCCACTGAAAAAGTTCATCCTTAGAATATTTGTAGAGGGCCCAGGGAATGGGCTTGAAGGACAGGAGGAAGAGCTGTTACCAAGAAAACTGTCAGATAAAAGAAGTCTGAGTCCGGGGCAGAACTGTAATCCGAATAAGCATCTCAGGCAAGCCCCTCCCTAGTTCACCTGAAGATAAAGGGAGGGAGGGGGAAGCACATTCAGACTTGCAAGGTTCTGTTGCTACAGCTGTTACAATAAAAGTAGTCCTGACCTATATGGCATTGGTCTGTTAGCCTAGTTATAGGACTGATTGCAGGGGCTGGAATCATGGGCTGATTTACAGATCAGACCAGTGCTCAGTCCCTCAGAAATCGGGGGATGCACCCTGGGAAAAGCTCTCTCCCCCTCCCATTTAGCATCAGGCTACCCTAAAGTCTTGCCTAGCTCTATTTAGGGAATCAAGAGCGTGCATCAATATGGGCCCCTGGACATTCTGCCTGCCCTCCCATAGCTCTGACCTGATAGTGCTTGGGTCAAAGAACTTTGGTTAATGGGGGAGGAAGGAATCAAAATATAATAAACTGGTTTATCATGATGGAGCCTCGAGCTTGAGAAATTTGCAGTTAAGACACTGAAGCGCTGTCAAGCCCCCGCAGTATACCTCAAGCCATTTTCGGAGGAATGTCATCCTGTCAAAAGCCATCTAAAGCCTCTACGTGCCGCTAAATCTGAATTCCCCTTAGCCAAGGTTTGAATGTCTCTCTTTTCAGCCTAAGGATGGAAAGGGGCTGAAACAGAACTCTCTCCTCTCCATCATTTGTGTTTTCTCTTTCATCCAGGGATCCAAGCTGAGGCCTGCAGGGAAAAGCGTGTGCTTTCCCAGCATAACAGGCTCCTTCCCTTAACATGGACTGCTAAAAACAAAGCAAGTGTTTATTTCTCCACTGCGCTTCCTCTATCATGAAGCTAACCATGGCAAGTATGAAGGTTGTCAGATGTCCCTTCCAATCTAAAACTTAATTTAATCCTCAGATTCAGTTAGGCTGAGGCCCCCTCTGTCTCTAGGGCTAGGCTTTGGGGGAGCAGAGACAGTAATTGAACAAACAGAGTGAAGAAGCCATATGATTATTAACAAGAACATACAAGACTTGGCTTTTTTGGGGGGGGGGGGACAGCTTTCAAAGAAAAGTTTCCTATCCCAATCTCCTAAACTTAAATGACTTGTCTAAATACATTTTTTTACATTTTCCTAAAATAAATATGCCAACAAATTTACCCCAGCCCTTATTTTTTTTAAAAAAATCTCCCAAACTTTAGCTTTCAAAAAACCTTCAATACGGATTTTCTAAATGCTGAAAAGACCTTCATATCATTTCAGTAAACTTCCCCAAAACTATACCTTAGTCTTATAGTACAATCTCACGTCATAAAGGGGGGTGAAGAAGGTGCATTAACTGTCTGATGCTGCATGTCAAGCTCACGGTGGCTTTGGCAACGTTTATAAAATGGCATCTTTTGCTCCTGGCATCTGACAAGAAGCTGTCTGCACCCTTAATTGGCTCCAGCAACCTGCAACCTATTTTTGGTTCCGAAGCTGGGCAAACGCTCCGAAAACGAAAGCCTTCTTTGCTCTAAACATGTCACTTTTAGAAAGCGCATCGCGCGCTTAATGTGGAGCTGCTAAAAATACAACGTGGCAGCAGGAAGGAACCGCGCAGCAGGACGCAGCAGGACGTCAAAGAGCTTTCAAGCCTTCTGAGAGTTAGACATGCCCACCTGGAATGCCGGACTGTTCTGTAGGCTGTGGGAAGCGA